TTGGTTCTCCAACAAGTACAAGAAGGAGAACTTCGTAACTGACTCACGTGATCCAATCGGGACAATCATTCCCTGAAATTTCAGGATTTCTTTCGCCATTTTGAGAGTAACTACATCCCTATTTTTTATAGCTTTACTACCGCCTTGGTGGGTGGGGTATTGACAGGGCCTTCGCTGAATCAGTACTTCCCCAACTTTTGTCGATGTCTGGGCATATCATCGTTTGGCTAAGCTTTGAAACTGGTAATTCAAAAATACCCACTCTGGTTAAAATAAGTTCATGCTCAGTTAGCGTTTCGCGAGATAAATGACAAGAGCTTAGATGGTTTACAATTGACTCATTACAATTTCCAAGGCTCACGGACTGTGTAATACCTCTTGAGCTACCACATGGTCCTCTATATTTCGAAAAGCACGACAAAAAGCATGGAGTTCCCATGGTGTTGTTCGCAAATCGTGAACCAAATCAATACTAAGATTTTGTGTAACTTAAATTGAATTATTTATGAACTAAATTAGTTGTAAATTAAGTTGTTTTTCTCTGGCTAAGCGGCCTCCCAAAACAGTTTGAAAAATTGAATATCTATCCGAGTTTAAACGATGTCTTTTAACAGATTTACAACAGTGATAACAGTTACTTTTACATGACAGACGATTTTGAAAAGTAGCTGGTTTAGGTGCTTTTCTAAATTTACGCGACTACATGTGAGTAAAATTATTGCAAACGAACTGACTAATTGAATTTCGTAAGGTTGCACTGCGTGACACAAAATTCACTTCAATGGAAGTTCTGTGCCGTTCTCTATATCTACAGGAAAATAATAGTCCAGTTTTTATCGAAAAATGTCTTTTTTTCTGGCGATTTTATGAGAACTTATAGTTTATGAACACAAAAGAAGGGCCCTTTCACATAGTATGTTCTTGTGGCGAAAGTTTTCTTAGATTAAAAGTTACATTTTCGAATTAAAAGGACTGCATTTTAAGTGCTTTTAAGTTGAACAGTTTCTAAATGAACAACACGAA